AATTAACCAAAGCAAAAAAAAATGTAATTAAATTCTTTAAAAAGAAGAAGAAATGAGTAAACAAATGTTCAAGTCTTGGCCACCACCTTCCGTGCACCCATCACCACTGGCACCAGCAAAACCAACACAGAAAAAGAATAGGAATAAAATCATAACTAATACAAAATGAAAACAGGAAAGGGGTGGGGGGTGGGGTGGTGAGTGCATGTATATAGAAGTGCCCGCCCATAGAAATCAATGCAAAAAGCAAGCTTGTGATTGCAAGAAACATGGTACAAAATGTGATATGATTATGTGGAAATTTCAAAGTTATAAATTTAACTTTGTCAAATTAGAATTTTATAAATCTTTTAAAGAAATTTTCTTAAAAAATCAAATAAATAAATTGAATGAAGTTGCAGTACCGGCAAAGGCATTCTGGCATACACAAGGACACAGCATAGCCAAAATCCCTGTGCTGACACTTTGCAGGAAAGTACCAGCTAAGGCATTCTGGCATACACAAGGACACAGCATAGCCAAAATCCCTGTGCTGACACTTTGCAGGAAAGCAGGGAATAAACGGGGAGAAAAACAACAACAAGTCAAGATGAACAAAAGGGGAGTAATTGAATATTGCAAGCACAGGAGAGCAAAGAGCTGGAGGCGAGGGGACATGTTCACAGGTGAGTCTGGTACCTGCAGTATGGCCGGGTGACCAGTGCCGTCCTGCTGTATGACGTGCGGCCCAAAGTTCACGTTCACGACCTTGGGGTTCTCGATGTGCACCGAGCCTTGGGTGGGAAACAGGCCCTGCGTGGGGTTGCTGTAGATGGTCTGAGCACCCAGCGTCTGGTTGGACTGTAGCAACGTCTGCACCGGCACACCATTGGACAGTTGCTGCAGCCGCGGAAAGTAAGGAAAATAGTTTCTCTTTTTATTTTTTGGAGGTAAAAAGGTCCGACGTTTCTTTTACATATTGGAAAAAATGTTCACAGCGTGGCCTTTCAGTTTGCTTTCAGCTACACTTGAGCTTGTAAAACTCGTCTACTTACTACTTTTCTTTTTCATTGGCTTTCCATTTCTATCAATTCTATAAACATAGGGTACAAACTACCAAGAGTAAAATTCCATCTTGAATAGGAACAGAAGTCTAACACTAAGCAGCTGATGGAACTTTTTTTTCCATTGAAAATATCAGCAGACCTTTCCTTTCTTTTTGCAATAGAACACGGAGTGGAAACTGACAAAACATCTACCGCACAGTTCGGGCTGTAGACTGCACCAGTGTACAAGCCGCACCGGCACCCACTCCATTTGTCACTAAATCTGAACTTTTTCATGAAAAAGCCGCACCCACTAAATTTGTTACTAAATCTCAACTTTTTCATGAAGAAGCCACATCCACTCAATTTGTCACTAAATCTGAACTTTTTCATGAAAAAGCCACACCCACTCAATTTGTTACTAAATCTCAACTTTTTCATGAAGAAGCCACACCCACTAAATTTGCTACTAAATCTGAACTTTTTCATGAAAAAGCCGCAGCAGGCCAGCAACCACACCAGAATATTAGGTCAAATCTTTGGAGCATACACAGAACCGTCAAAATACCAGCAAAGAACTCACTGGGACCTCGCCTACAATTTGCTCATATCAAAACGGCCACCCCCCCCCCCCCCCCATATTTCCTTGTTAGATTGTCACTTCCCGACTGTCTGGACGTCTCCCCAGGAGGAGTGTCCACAAGTGCTCGCCCATCTGATGGGCCGCGATTCTTCCCTGTACACTACAGTGTGGCCTTGAGGAACACACCATAACTTTTTACTGTCTTTTAGGCGTATGCTAAGAACAGACGCAGGAGAAAATCAGGAAAACTCGGCCAAAAAGCCGCCTAGTTTAAAAACACCGGGGTTGTTATGTTGTTAGCCATCCAGAAGCACCGGGTTTTAAAGCTGAAGAAATAAGTCGCTGCTCCTAGCGCCAACTTTCTGGTAAATGCAGCTTTGAGAAAGGCAACATGAGAAGGCCACAGTGTAAATACTCTACAACAGAAACATGTACAATTCAAACTTCATAAAGTAGGACCAAGCTCAAAGTTATTTGTAACAGTCAAAACAAGTTGTTTTCCGTGTCCCTGTCCCTACAAAAACACACAAGTCGCTAATCCTGTAACGGCTACATTTACACACCTGGAACTTTCCATGCCATCAAAAAAGCTCCTTCTAGAAAAAGGTGAAACAAAACTGAGAAGAAAGCAACAGTCCAAAGACAGCATTTTGTTGGATTTAGTTCTACAGCACGTACAACCCACAAACAGGTGGCCAAGATTCCAGGTGCTACTCACATAACCTACAAAGTCAAGAGGAGGAGGAGAGATAAGGACAAGACATGACTGATGGGAGGACAAGACATGATTGATGGGAGGACAAGACATGATTGATGGAGGACAAGACATGATTGATGGGAGGACAAGACATGATTGATGGGAACCAATGAGTCAACAGACCCACAGAAGCCACCCACCAGACACCCACTGCAGGTTCTGGTGGTCCACCAACAGCTGTCTTCCTGACCCACTGACCCACATTCTAAGCTATACACAACTCATAAAATCACATTTTTTAACAAATTAGTGGTGTGTGAGTAGCAGGCACAACTTGGGGCACAACTTGGGACACAACTCGGGGCTTACTGTGGCCATAGGAAAGGTGGGAGCAATCTGTACCAGCTTGGCATTCCCATGCTGCTGCTGAGGCTGAGCAGCCGAGGAAGGCACCTGCTGCGGCTGAGATTGCTGCTGTTGCTGTGGAGTTGCCGAGACCACGTTGTGTATGCGGCCGGCCGTGCTCATGAGCTGCTGGGAAGACGCGGACTGTGTGAGGTAGGCCACGGTGCTGGTACCCCCGATGCTGGTACTGGCCTGTTGCATGGCCGCGTTGGGCAGGGAGCCTTGCAGGTGGGTCGGAATGCTGAGGGGGGGGATCAACAACGGAGCCAGATTAGGAAAAACAACAAACAATACAAAACAAAAATAACAACAAAGGAGCAGTTGCGAGTGCTGGAAAACCTTACGAAAACTAAAGAAGCAGTTGCGAGTGCTGGAAAACCTTACGAAAACTAAAGGAGCAGTTGCGAGTGCTGGAAAACCTTACGAAAACTAAAGGAGCAGTTGCGAGTGCTAGAAAACCTTACGAAAACTAAAGGAGCAGTTGCGAGTGCTGGAAAACCTTACGAAAACTAAAGGAGCAGTTGCGAGTGCTGGAAAACCTTACGAAAATTAAAGGAGCAGTTGCGAGTGCTGGAAAACCATACTAAAACTTTAAAAAACAACAACAAAGGAGGAGTACCATTCAACTAGTGAAGCTTTTCCTGGTCTGGTTTTTTGCTTGATTAATTTTCAGTTCTAATTAAACCTGAAGGGTGAAGCATTAGACGCAAACGCGAAATACTTTCTAAAACATGGTTTCCAAGATATTTTTTGTAAGAGTTTCACGGCACTTGCAACACAATAAGGCCATAATATAAGTGCCGAAGATCAGAGGTGTTACAAGAGAGTAACAAATATAAAAAAGAAGGAGGAGAGATAGAGACGACAGTTGTTTAATAGGAAAGAAGGAGCAAACCACACCAGAGCATCCGCCAACCACCCACTTTCCAAGATATGGTATCAATAAAATATATTTACTTACTTACTTTTTACTTTTAGTAGAAGTTTTACAGCGCTCGCAACTGCATAAGGTCATATGAGCGCAAGACGATTAGAGGTGTTACAAGACAGTAACAAACAAAAAAGAAGAAGGGGAGATAAGGACGATAGATGTTTGATTGGAAAGAAGAAGCAAACCACACCAGAGCACCCGCCAACCACCCACAAAATGCCAAAAGAAGACTTTAAATAAAATCTAGTCAAAATGATGTTTGGTGAACAAGTGAAAAGGGCAAAAACAGGTGAAGTTCAGAAAAAAAAATGATGGAATTTTCACATTCAATTTAACATCACATTAAAATCTACTTTTTCTTCCCTCAAAGCAATTTCTACTAGACCCAATCAAAATAAATTTGTGTGGATCTGTTCAATGGCTCAGATTACTTAAGTTTTCCCAACATCCCACGGGCAAAAAACTAACTTCAAATATCCCCAATGTTTTTGTTCAATCTGGAAGTTTCTGTGGACCCCCATCACCACGATGTCGATCCTTTCTGAGGCGGGCTTCAACCCGGACCCCCGGAGCCAATTTGAACCACAGGGATCAACGATCAACGTTTTAGCCTGCAGAAAGACGAAGATATTCGATGAGAATACTCCCTCCATGGGACTTGAACTTGGGTCTCCTGCACACCACGGCATCCTGCCTCACTGCTACACTACAGATTGACACAAAACAGAAACTTACTTTATTGACGCATCCGATAAAACTCGATTGACGCTGGTCTGTGGTTGAAGTCTGCAACAAAAGAAATCATGTGTCAATTACGTAACAAGCATGCGGGCAAACTAGCTTTCTTGACAAAGTTCCTAAACGGTGCGATGACTAAATACGTCGTGGACATGACCGTATGACCACATGATCGTATCATCAAAAGTACGAGTTGTCCTCAGAACCTGCCCTAAACAGGTATTTGGAGGGGGAAAACCTGAGGAATCTCGAGAACTCTGGTGGGTTGGAAACATGTTGTGGCTAACAATGTGAATCACAAATACATGCTAGTCAAAAAATAGTATTTTCCCATCATTTATAAAAACGTGGCAATTAAACATGAGCATTTCAAAAATTTCAGAATTAAGTTGCATGTGACTGATGAAAAGAGAATTCAAGAAAGACAAAAGAAAAAGATCTTGAAGAAGAAGAGGAAGAAGTAGATCTTGAAGAAGAAGAGGAAGAAGTAGATCTTGAAGAAGAAGAGGAAGAAGAAGAAGATCTTGAAGCAGAAGAAGATCTTGAAGCAGAAGAAGAAGAAGAAGATCTTGAAGCAGAAGAAGAAGAAGAAGATCTTGAAGAAGAAGAAGAAGATCTTGAAGCAGAAGAATAAGAATAAGATCTTGAAGCAGAAGAAGAAGATCTTGAAGCAGAAGAAGAAGAGTCCTGCGAATGTTCCTTGAGCAGCTAGCAGGTGTGTGGTGATGTGGTGACGTGGTGACGTGGTGATGTGGTGGGCACTCACTGTATCTGCAGCTGTCCGCCGACAACGCTGGCCTGTGAGGGAGGGATCATCTGCTGGGACGACGCGGCTCCTGAGGAACCATTCCCAGCATCCCCGGCGCCCGCCGTGTCATCTGCGTGGATGCCGTCGATGAAGAGGTCACCCCACGACTGAAATATCATGATTCACGGTCAGTGGGGAGGGACCGTTGGAGGGGGGTCTACTTTTCTGGAGGTAACATCAACACAGAAAAAGAAAACTGTTTGCTTACAATGGGTGCAAGAAGGAAAGTTTTAGTTTTAGTAAAAGTTTTGCGACATTTGCAACACAATAAGGTCATAAAGCCTTATAAGTGCCGAAGAAAAGATGTGTCACAAGTCACAAGAGAGTAACATACACAATAAAGAAGGAGCAGAGGTAAGACCATAGAGGTTTGATAGGAAAGAAGGAGCAAACCACACCAGAGCACCCACCCACTTTTTTTTTGTTTTTGTTTCAGTGAAAGTTTAAACATACTTGCAATACAATTAGGTCATTTAACTCTTCCAAAGATTTGAGGTGTTACAAGAGAGTAACAAACACACATGAAAAAGGAGGAGAGATAATGATGTTTGACAGGAAAGAAGAAGCAAACCACATGAGAGTCCCCCCAAACTACCCAGTGTTTCAGTTGCTTGGGACCAACAATAAAACAGATAGATATATATATCTACAACAAAACTGTAAAGCCTTGAGACAAACAAACAACTTACTGGCTCGCTTGATTCTTGAGCCCTGTAATAAACAAACAAAACAATAGCTTTCATCTCAAAGGTCAAAAATCCTGTCACAGACATCCTGTCACACACATCCTGTCACAGACATCCTGTCACAGACATCCTGTCACAGACATCCTGTCACAGACATCCTGTCGCAGACATCCTGTCACACACATCCTGTCACAGACATCCTGTCACAGACATCCTGTCACAGACATCCTGTCGCAGACATCCTGTCGCAGACATCCTGTCGCAGACATCCTGTCACACATATCCTGTCACAGACATCCTGTCACACACATGCTGTCACAGACATCCTGTCACAGACATCCTGTCGCAGACATCCTGTC